GGAACCCTGTCCTCGCAGTCCGACGGGCATGACAAGGCCACCTACCTAAAGGCCCCGGCTACTCGGTGTCACGTGGCTTGATGGCATGGACCCGTTCACTTATACGCCCCTCACGGCTACGCTTGCGACTCTAGGTCGTTCAGTGATGTGTCGGTGTGGTTCACGTGCCATTATTTCATTGAGTATTCAGAGTGGATGGCTGCATAGCAGTGGACAGCTGCCGGCGTCGTTGGATGCTGCAAACAGCGGGTTTATCTTGACGCAGGCATGTTCATGTTACAAGTGCTGTAGCGGGAAGGTGCTGCCAATTATGGCGGGTTCATGTTGTCGAGCAACTCCTACGACATTTACTCTTAACTTTAGTGTGAAGCTGCAGAGCATCTTGCAAAACTGGAACAAAAACACAGGTAACTGAATCGTGACCTGCTTTATAGTCTTGCAGTGATCTGATACTTGGATTTTTAATTAAGAGTTTGTGTAGTGGACATTTATTCTAATTTTGTCAGCACATCGCCTTTTCAACAAGCAAATGTTTTATCTGAAAAAATTATAGGGAACGACATGTTCTCATAGTGCAAAAACAGAATCTGTAAGTTCTTACATGTTTCCTTGCAAATGATATATTTGTATAAGTTCAACCAGCCTGTAACTTCATCCATATAGACCTAATTTTTTTTAAATAATACATTTTTTTATTAATTTTCATAAATATTACGCCGGATAAAAAAAATTCAAAAATAATACACCGTCGGCCCGCTGCAGGCCGATTGGGCCTAGTCGGCCCACAGTAGGCCGATTGGATTCCAGTCGGCCTACAGCTGGCCGACTGGACCCTGTCGGCCCACTGTGGGCTGATTGCGTCCTGTCGGCCCACTGTGGGCCGACTGGCGCTAATTGGCATAAAAATATATGTTTTAAAAATTTTTAATCATGTAATTAAAAAATGTTAAACGTGTATAAAAAATGTTCCTGATATATAAAAAAAATGTACAATATATATGCAAAAATGTTGACATAAAAAATATGTTTGGAAAGTGTTAAGCATGTATTTAAAAATTGTTAAATGTGTGTATAAAAAATGTTTCTTATTTATACAAAAAATATAGAATGTGTATGAAAAAAAGTTGATACCAAAAAATTATGTTTGAAAAATATGTTTGAAAAGTTGACATTTTTTCAAATACATGATTAAAAATTGTTAAATTTGTGTATAAAAAATGTTCCTTATCTATAAAAAAATATAGAATGTGTATGAAAAAAAGTTGACACCAAAAAAATATGTTTGAAAAAAATGTTCCAGTTCCATACAAAAAGAGCAACCAATCATATTTTTTTCACAACCTTGATTTATTTTTTGTCACCAACTGACCAACATAATTTTTTGGTGTCAACTTTTTTTCATACACATTCTATATTTTTTGTATAAACAGGAACATTTTTTATACACATATTTAACAATTTTTAAATACATGATTAACACTTTTTAAAACATACTTTTTATGTCAACATTTTTGCATATATATTGTACATTTGTTTTATACATCAGGAACATTTTTTTATAGACGTTTAACATTTTTTAATTACATGATTAACATTTTTTTAAACATATATTTTTTATGCCTATTTTTTTGCAAAAACAATTAGCCCACAGCGGGCCAATTAGCTCCAGTCAGCCCACAGTGGGCCGACAGGACCCAATCAGCCCACAGTGGGCCGACAGGGGCCAGTCGGCCAGCTATAGGCCGACTGGAATCCAATCGGCCTGCTGTGGGCCGACTAGGCCCAGTCGGCCTGCAGCGGGCCGATGGTGTATTATTTTTGAAAAAAAAATATCCAGCGTAATATTTATGAAAATTAATGAAAAAATGTATTATTTTAAAAAAATTAGCCCATATAGTGATGTTGTATACACGGTCTAACTCAAGAATCGAGAAATTGGTGGTTTCCTTGACATTTGATGCATTTTTAACTCCGTGTTGTAGGGGTCATCGGTGGCACCTTCCTACTACTCCTATTTACCACTCACACATGCAGGCAACCCGATCAAGGTTCCGCCGAAAGCCGTCTACGTGCATGTCTTTGCAGTCCATACCAACAATATCTTCTTCGTGCCACCACCAACAGTTTTTCTCAGTTATATCATCTTTGATCATGTCTCTTCATATCTCAATCAAATTTACACTTTCAACTTTCTCAAGCATTCAATCAAAGTGGATATCCATGTATCAACTAGCATAGTTGCTTGCCTATTATAGTTGGAGCAGAGGTCGATTTAACTAAGGTATGGCCTTGGGATTTTATTTATATATTTTCCCTAAGGTGTTGACTCGATTTAAATTTTTGTCATTCATCATGAAGGATAGATTGAAATAAATCTATATACATTGTCGTCGCTGGTGGAGTGATGATTGTGAAGTACTTTTAGCAATAGATGTCAAGAGAATATGGTCGTATAATAGTATATTTTTCTACTCAGTCACAAGCATAGAATTAGTAGCTTCATTTGGTTTATGTTGTGCCAGCTTGCAATAATACTTTTTGAACCAATATTAAGCAGTTGGCTCAGTGCTAGAAACTAATTTATTTGCTTGTTGTATCTGCAATTTTCACTATTTATTGGATGGTAACTTCACATGTTGCAAAATTAAATCACCTCTGCAAGATGTGCCTCTGATAGACACTCATGTTTATCAAATCATCTTTTGTATCCGTGTACATAGGAACTGATGTTCAATGCTATATGCCAACATGACTAAACTTCAAACTACTAATTGCAAAGCCTATGTCATATTAGGTGTGTACTTAACTGTATGCCAATTTCTTTGAAAACAACCCAAAGCTTTTCATTTGTAAAAAAACTTTTAATGGTTGTTGAAACTATGTAATTTTATATTTAGAATCCTACTACATGTCCCGCAGCAACGCGCGGGGTATCAATCTAGTTAATTCAGTACCCAGGGCAAGTTGTTGTTTTATGCTGTTGTCAATTTTTTAGGAAAAGGTTTTTAAGAAACCAAAAAAAACAAAAAAATCCACAAAAATGTTTTGAGTCTGGATGCTTTCGGAGGCACCTGGCCTCTCATGGGCAGACCTGTGGGCCCCATGCGGCCAGGCGTTATGGCCAGGGCGTGGTCGCGTGGGCCCCATGGGACTTCGTTCCACTGCCTTTGTGTTGCTTCGAAATCCCTGAAAATAAATCTCAAGGATTTTTCCTGCCGACGCCAAATGAGTCACCCCTAATCGACTACTTTACCCCGATGGCTTCATATCACACAACAGAGAAACAAAGAGATCAGAAACTCCACCAAAACCAAAAAACCTAGCATGTGGAAGGGCTCCGGAGGGGGAAAAGATAGAAAGGATCCGCTACGCCATCAACCCGATCAAGAGGACTTCAACATCAACCACTATCATCATCATTGGCCCCCTATTCACCCCTTTATAATACCAAACCCTAGGTGGATTTCGGTGTGTGTTACATTGATCTATCATCCATTATTACTACGATTACCCCTTCGATGCTTGTTGTCTCTATTTCTGAGTAAAACTCGTAGTCCTCAGCGATAATGAGGGACCTGGTATGTTTAGGTGTTGAATGCCGATAGGATTTGACATCATCTTTGTATGTTTATCTTAATAATCTTTTCGATGTTGGATAAAATCGACCACTTAACAATTGCACTTAGGGGGGTGAAGGTGGCCCTACTTGATAGCTCAGTTTTATCTAAGTATTTTGAAAATACTACGGTATTTGAGATTACCACAGTTTAATTTACTGTGGAGTGTTTGGCCGCTACTAAGAACTATGGTTTTAATATTGTAGTATTTGTAAAACCGTGGTATTTTCTCTATTTTTAAAAAAGAACCCTGGACCTCTTTTTCTGAAAAATGAGTCCAGTTCACTTCCGATCCCCTCCCCTTCGATACGATGGCCGGCGACGGAAGCAGGGGTGGCTCCGGTGCAGAATCCGATGGCTCGAACATCGATGTGGAGGAGGTGGCCCTCGCATCACCTTGAGGAGGTCGATGCTCGAGCAAGGCGGCCTCGAGAATAGTGGATCGTCTTCCTCAGTGCCCGTCGCCCGTCAACGCAGCGCCGGCGACGTCGCTGGCCCTTCCCGCCCGGCGCACAGCTCTACTCTGCTCCTTCAGGTATGCCGCCCACCTCCACAACCCACTAGTACGAAAGTGGTACCCGGCCACCGCTGGGTCCTCGTGCCCGCGTTAGGGCCGACGCACAGGAGGATGCCCAAGTCCGAGGCACGTGCAACCCAGCGCGAGCAGTAGCGGGCGAGGGAGAGGGGGGAGGCGATGTCCGCGTGCCATTCGCGCGTGAGCGCGCCGGTCGATCCCGAGGTTGCGCCCCTCGTGTCGGTCCTCCGCCGCAAGAATGCCAAGATGCTCCGACTCGCCTTGGAGTTGTCAGAGGAGGGGCACAACCGCGCCGACGACCAGAAGGGGAAGGGGCCGGTGAGGAAATGGTGATCTCCTCCACCCTTCCTTGTTCTGTTTAAATTTTAACTATGTTTTAAGTTGTTTAGTATGGATTTACCGTTGAACTCTGATGAACTATGCTCCTTTTGCCCGCCGATGCAATGTTGATCCGATGAGCTGCGCGTTGATCGTGTTTTACGCAGTGTTGTATGGGTAGCATGGTTTTGAGAATTCGAATATAAGGGATACGGGTGTGGAAGCCAATAAATGAGTCGTGCCGACCGCACCTGGGCGTGCGCGGGCGTTTGAGAGACTGGATTTGCTATCTAGACGTGTAGGTGCTCTTAAATCGTCAACCTAGAGATACACGTGAACCTTCTAAAGTTCTAAACTGGAAAGATGCAATATATAAAAGATATCCATTGTTACAAGTTTGAATAAGGATGGAACAGAGCAGGCCAACGACTAACATCCGCCGCCAATTCCATTCATGCGCATGACTCGTTTTTTATTCTCACACAAAGCCTTCCACGCACGTACGTCGTGCAATTTTGATAGGTAGGCCATCAAGGAAACGTGTTATCTGCGAAATCAAATAAGCTGGATTGAGCAATATATTGCCAACAATTTCAGAACAATATTCAGCTCCAAGAAAGAAAAGCTAGGCATTATTATATCTCGTTGAGAAGTAGGAGTATACTAGTACTAATCTACTAGCATACGCCTACGTATGTATGTGCGCACGTACCTCCGCAGTCGGCTATGCCACAGCGCTTGGGGATCGTGAGTGCGACCTCAGGCTTCACTCCCAACAGTTTGAAGGCGTCGTTCAGGAAGACGGCGCACACGCAATCGGGGCTCGCCATGCTGACCTTGCGCACCGCCACGCAGCAGATGGCCGTCGGCGCGGACTGCGGGTTGCGCCCCGCCGGGGCGCACCGAGCCAGTTGCGGGACCCTGGCGATGGCCCTCGCGCACTCGCCAGCTCCCTCAGCGCTGCCGATACCGGCTGCGAGCACGGCGGCCAGGGCAAGAAGGACGAGCGGCCTCATTGTCATCGATCTCCCCGTGTTGCTCTGATGGCTTCACCTGTACTAGTAGTTCTTACTGTACAACGTTAGTGCGGATCGCTCGTAGCTAGCTGCTTGCCGTGGGTATACATGGGTGGTGCTTCTTATATAGCCGTACTGCCGTTGTGGCAAGTAGGAGGAAGCACCGCAGGCTCTCTGATTGCATGCTGACTGTGCTAATGGTTTCTCCGTTTTTCCACAATGCAGAACACGTTTGCGAGTTATTATTTCCGCGTCCCCTTATGGCATCTTCAATCCGACCCTCAAACCATCCTCACGACCCGGACGTGTTATGCCATCCAAAGCGATTGGTCCACAAGCTGGTTTGGACGCACTTTCTCCCGAAAATCGGAGACAAATGTATGAGGGTAGGGCTGGAAAAAAAGCTCGAAGCTCGCGAGCTAAACGAGTAGCTCGTGACTCGGCTCGAATTGACTCGAACTCGAACAATAACGAGTCGAGCCGAGCTTTAGTTTAAGATCGTTTGCAGGACGAGTTAAACGAGCCGATCTCACAAGTACTCGTATAACTCGCTAGGCTCGGTAAAAGAATCAGTGTTTCTTGATGGGTAGTAAAAACAGCCACTAAACACCTTGCGTTCAAGCACAAGGCCCAACCGCTCAAGGCCTAGTCACCTAGGAGGCTCACACGTACATGACCATATATGTCCATGTTAAATTCCCGGTTAATCTTTTTGTCGTATTCTTTACGTTTTTATGTTCATATCTTTAACGAGCTTAACAAGCTAAACGAGCCAGCTCGCGAGTTATACGAGTCGAGCCAATCTTGGATTTGAGCTCGTTATAGTAACGAGTCGAGTCGAGCTAGCTCGTTAATGAAACGAGTTTTAGCGAGTCGAGTCGAGCTGGCTCGACTCGGCTCGAATTCCACCCCTATATGAGGGCTTTGCGAGTGTCCGGACATCACCCCGCTTCTGACCACCCCGACCCACCCACCACCCTCCTCACTCACTCGCACGGGTTCCCGCCCGGTGACAGCTGCCCGCTCTCATGCCGTCGTAGAGCGGCCGCTCCCCATTGAAGCCGGCTGTAGAGCGGAAGCGACCTCTCACTGACGCCGACATTGAAGCGGCGCGCTGGCCGAGGGTGCCGCCCACGACGCGTCCTCGGTGTCCTCGCCTGTTCAATGTCGGAGACGCGTTACTGGACGGGACGTGATGAATATCTACAACGCCAGTTCAATGTCCCGTCCATTCGTAAGCCGCCATTAAGCAGGCTCGCCGGCCGAGAAACCCACGGTTGCGATGTGCATTGACGCAACCAGACGCCTGGCCACATCGGAATCCCCTATTTAAAAGCGGCAACACCCGGCCTACTCCACGCCACAACATAAGCCGCTCCACATCCTCCTCCCTTGCACCACATCCGCCATGACCGCAGAAGCAATGCTGTGTGAAAAAGCCTATCGACGGAGATGAAGCACGAGCTGTCCGCCCTTGCGGCCGCCTGGCAGAGCCGTCGTGCCAGGCGGATCGAGGCCTCATGCCGGCCAGCTCGCTCGACGTCTCCAATGACACCGCACCGGAGCCCGCACTTGTGCATGCCGGCTTCGCCATGGAGCGGGCATAGGCGCACTACGACGCCGTTATTGCGAAGGAGCAGCCTGCGCCGACACCTATGTCGGTGTTTCAGTAGGTGCAGGAGGAACAACAATATAAGATGTTTCTCCTAGAGCAACACTAGCTAGCGGAGGGCCAGATCGGCGGCGAGCGCGAGAGTGAGAAGGCCATGGCAACCATGGTCGCGGCGAACCCCTACTTCACTGCGGAGCAGTGTGCGATCTATGAGGTCATTCATTCTCAAGCTGCCGAGGCACAACTGCAGGGGATCATGGACGATAACAACGCCAACTGCGCCTACTACACGCGGCCGACGAACTATCAGTCGGGCCGGTTCGGCGACGACAGCGCCGAGCCACCATTTCCATCATGGACCTCACGTCCACCGGGGACAGGCAGGTCGGGGACTCCTCCGAGGATGAGTAGGGCACGGGAGGTGGCAGGGCCTTGTGTCCCACATGGGCCGGTCCGTCTCCTGTGTTCTACTCTTCTTCATCGGAGACCACACCTTCATTTCATGGGTCTTACCGCCACCGTTCATGGAAACGACAAATGAAGGACACGTTCGTCGATGCGGAATAGAAAGCAAGTGGAAGACGCCCGGTCGCCTCTTTAGGATAGGTTTAGGGTAGGGTTTCCTTTTTTGTTCTAAATGTTTCAAATATAAAAAATCTGGCGTGTTTGCATAAATCTCGTTCGGTTTATATGAAAATCCCCCGTTTTGCACGAATTCCATCAGGTTTGTTGAAAAAATGTTTGAAATGTACATAGCCGTTGAATGACCGGTTTCCGTATCCGAATCCGTGAACTGGTCCTTTCTGTCCGTGGACGAATGCGAGAGAAAATTTCGGGGCCCGTTGAAGATGCCCTTAGCTGTTAAATGATCGACTGGAAGCATCTTCTTGTCTTCTCCCTCTTTCTTATCTGAAAACAGTGCTACACTACAATATTGTTGTTTTCTCCGTTTGGCTTGCAACAAGCTCCGTCTAAACTGTCGGTGATGTGATGGCTTCTCCTTTGCTTTTTGCTTTGTTTAGTTTGTTTATTAGGTGCTCCTCATGCAGTCATGCTTATGTAATCCCCGTTGGGTCTGACCCTCTGATTTTATTCTTTCGTAATCTTTACCCAAACCACATTTGATTTGACGATATGTACGCTTTGAACACATTATCATTGGACGCGGCTTGCCTGTTCCACGGGTTTGTTCTGATCCGTGCTCTGCGGGGTCATGGCAGATTTTGAAAAACTTTGCAGGGGAGAAACTGCTGGTGTGTGCACTCAACTGGAATAAATGTGTACGGGAGTAGAATTGTCTGAAACAGCGTTCTTGCTTCTGGTTAGCAACTACTCCCTCTGTTCCTAAACATTTGCCTTTCTAAAGATTTTAAATGAAATATCACATACGGATGTATATAGACATATTTTAGAGTGTAAATTCACTCATTTTGCTCCGTATGTAATCACTTGTTGAAATCTCTAGAAAGACAAATATTTAGAAATGGAGGGAGTAGGTCTAACAAATTTGCTATTCAGCATTTGTATGTGAGTTTGAAAACTCGGCCTAAGTGGATTCATAAACCCCTCCTCTACAATTCTAAAGGCGATCAGAAGGCGGTCATGGTTCCCGTTCCTCTGCCGGTGACGCCGCCGGTCCACCTCGCCTCCAGTGGCCCTCCTTGGGAGCCCGACGGACAACGATCTCTCACCATTGGGAGGGTTCCTGTTCCTTTTTTCAAAGTAAATGTTTGTGTCTGGTTTGAGACGTGAGGCGACGACAACACTCTAAAGTTGGAATAATGCCCTTTCCGCCCTATGCCTGCTCCTTTGAATCTGGTCAGGTTGTAAGTGCAGAGGCGATGTCATCAAGCTCTGGCAGAGCTGGCAGACGCGAGAGGAGGCAAGGGAGCCCTGGTGAAAGCGGGAAGATTTGAACGAGTCAATTGGGTTGAGTTGGTGGGTCGAGTTGTAGGCCATGGGCCCGTGGTTGAGGGTCGGTGTGTGGGCTTGCGGTTTATAAGCAAGCGAGTGACTCTGTAGATCGTCAAGTTTGAAATGAAATCATTCTGAGCCTCTCGTCTATCTCTCTCCTCCCCTGCTCTTATCCTCTCCCGAGCTGCCCTTTTCCCCTTCTCCTCGCCATGGTTGCGCTCTCCGGCTCCTCTCTCTAGCTACCTCACCGTCGGCGATCAGGTCCGATCCACGATCGTGACAGTCTGGTATCAGAGTCGTCGATCCTCTCCGCCGCGTCGCGCCGTGATTTTTTTCCCGTCTCGTACCTAGCAAATCCAAGGCGACAGTGGCGGATGACCCTAGGGTTCGATCAGCGTAATTCCTGACCTGAGGTGGGTTGATTTGGGGAAATCCGCGACGACGACGACCTTCAAGCCTAACCCGCAGACGCTTCATCGTGGACGGGATGGAGGCGTTCCAGGAGCGGATGCTCAAGGAGTTCGCCGAGCTGCGAGCGGCCCAAAGCAAGTGGGAAGCGGTGGAAGGCATTTGTGCGCAACTCGAAGCCCTCGACGCGAAGATTTCCGAGCAGCCTACAAGGTTGGACCAGGTTCAGGTCAAGGTCGACCTCTCCTGCGACACACTGGGGCAAGTGCAGCAGACGCAGTTCCATGCAGTTCAGATGGGGAAGCAGCACGCGATGGGCGAGAGCTCTTCGCCAATGACATCAGAGGTGTTGGATGGCATATTGGGGGCTGGCCCTGGCTTCGCAAATCGTGCTCTGCCGCGTCCAATTCAGGTACCGATCAAGCCTTCGAATTTCAGCCACCTGTGCTACCTATAGAAGAGGAACATGCAGCAAAGCGCCAGTGGATGCCTAAGATGGATTTTCCTAGGTTTGATGGGTCTGATGTGAGAATTTGGCTCGATAAATGTGAGGCGTTCTTCAGGCTGTACCACATACCTGACAGTTTTAAGGTTACGTCGGCCTCGCTATATCTGACAGATAATGCAGCTCACTGGTACCAAGCATTCAAACAAACAGGTGCACTGCACACTTGGGACCAATTTTGTCAAGCGATTTTGCAAGAGTTTGATGTGAATGTATATCGACAAAAGATGAAGGACCTGATGATGCTCAAACAGACAACTACTGTGGAGGAATACAAGCAACAGCTCTTAGAACTGGTGTACATAGTCAAGTTATATGAGCCTACAATCAGTGATACATTCCTAGTCACTCGATTTATCATGGGGCTCAAGGAGGAGCTCAGGTCAGGAGTGGAACTGCAAATTCGGTCAAATGTGCAACTGGCAGCTCTTTATGCATCAGTTCAGGAGGGTTTACTCTTGCAACAGAAATCCACCAAATCAAGTTTTACCAAGACACCATATGCATAGATAGAGAAAAAGTCGGGTCTTGCTACAAGGGATTTGTGGAAAGCCAAGCAATGCAAGG